ATTATCAGTAATGAATATTACTGTCCGAAAATTCCATAAAAGTTCTAATCGAAATAAAAAGATGAAGTTCGAAATTGCTGCAGTTAATATGTGAGATTTAATTTCAAATTCGTTAGCGCATATTTTATAAATAGGACATCGGAAAAAATGGTAGTATAATTACTTTGATGATAATAATTGCAAGCAATTTTTAAACATGTTCCGGAGGTTGTGAAAGAAAGTTTTATAGCTCATTATATAGAGAATTCTACGCTCTACAAAACGCACTGACTTACATTTTGCAGGAAATCTACTGGATGGAGAAAAGTAAACTTTATTGAAAACATTTTGCTTTTAAAATTAGTCATTTTTTAAATGGCAGGCTTCTGAAAAATCCAGTTCCCGGTCGAAAAAGTTTAGAAACATCTGATTTTGTTCATTTTTTGATGGACTTTGGAATGAGACGTCATTCGAATAGAATGGATAAAATTTGACGAAATTATAGGCAAAAAATCACGGAGGGAGCTTTTTTGAAAATCTTCGATACACCTAATTTTATAAATTCTATAACTCGACGAAATCAAGTCCAAACGACCTTAAAATGTTTTCATAACCCCAGTTTTGATCGTAAAATCCAAAAATAGAAAAATATATTTAGGTCAAAAAATTTCACTTGACAGCTTTTCTTGCTGGGCTGATAGAACGTCTCTTAACAACGATTGACATATGGTGAATAAAATAAAGTTCACGGATTTTCTCTAAAGAGCATATTATTTGTTATTAAAGATACCCATTTGGCCTATCAAGGAAAAGAAAAATACCTATATCATCATGATGAAAATCAAAATGACAAAAAAATAAAAGTGGGGTGAGAAAAGTGCACAGATATATATGTGGATAAATAAATAACATTGCCTCATTTCTCACATTACTTTTTCTACTACGTAACATTGAAAAAGATAGCAAACATGTTATTTCTTCTAATCTTGTTCAACCTGATTGCCGTTGGCTGTTCAAATCCAATAAGAAGTGATGAGTTTAAGTGTTTTTTTCTTTGAACGATCATTGTGTTTTATGTCATAATAGATTTTTTTCATTTATATAAATTTATTTATAGTTAACAAAATAACCGATAACAACAAACCCACATTTAGTTGGGTTAAAAATGGTCAAGGTAAAGATTACGATTATTCACAAGATCATTTATATGTTAAAGTTCCATCATCAGCTACCAATGGTGAATTATCAGTGGTTGAAGATACATTGAAACCAGGATTTTTTTTAGCTCGACATCATCATAAAAAGATGACAGAAATATTTTTCATTATCGAAGGTCAAGTACAACTTGTATTTGATGATGAGACAATAACAGCAAACACAGGTGATACAATTACGGTACCACCGAATACATGGCATGCAGCTAAATCAACTAATGGCAGTAAAATGTTAACTATATTTAAAAATGGACAATTTGATCTTTATTTAGAAAGACTATCAAAAATGACTGACGATGACTTTAAAAATGATGAATTAATGAAACGTGTATCACATGAGTTTGATATTTATAATGAATAGAGACAATAACGGTCGTGTTTGGCATTAATATTTTTTACAGATTTAATTTAATTTGAATAGAATTTTTTCTGATAGTAAGATTTTCTCTAAATGTTTCGAATACTGCATTATGCGGATAATGCGAGCGTATCCTGCCGAATAATAAATATGAACCCTGGATGTATAACGCCGTTATCTCCCTTAATGCTGGGTTCGTAATCGTCCTATATTTCCTACATTTATGAAAGTGGTTCTGTATTGTCCTATATTTCCTATATTTGGGGGGGGGGGGGGATGTGGGTTAACGCTGAAAGGCTTTGTGTTTGTTTTTTAAAAGACCCCGGCGCTTTTCTACACACATTTCCACTCGTTTCCGCAAAGAATTGGGTTACGTAATATGTACGTAACCCATTGTACATATTATTTCTTAACTGTTGTATTTGTATTCCTAAAGGGTTCTTTTTTGAAGAGAACGAGTATAAAACTGCTACAAAGTACATGATAAGATTTTAACTAAATCTTTCACACATCATCATCAGGAAAATGAACATAGGAAGAAAAGGTGACTAATTATATAGTCTGTAAATGTGAGTATAACACAAAGAAATTAAACGAACAGTTTTGCCAGTAGGGACAACGTGCCAGTAAAAGAATCTATTGAGATTGCACTAGATATGTTATATAAACCAAAGAAAATAGCTGATAGAAGTATTGTAACAGCAGCTAGAAAATATACACAACTAATCTTTAGCTGGATAAAAGAAAAGAATCAAATACATTTACTTTTGCAGAACAAATTGCAAAAGTAAAACCATTTCAAAACACTTTCCCTATCTCTGAAACAGCACCCAACTTAGTGGGACCGTTAATTTCTGATATACTCGTTGACCTAACTGAGGTGGTAAAAACTGTAGGGGCTATGAAGAATACCGCCAGCGTTAGAGTTGACGGTTTCTCGCTGAATTTATACAGTTATACCTACCAGTTCTCGGAAATCAATTAGTTAATGGATTTACTTTCGCAGTTTGTTCTGCAAAAGTAAATTTATTTGATTCTTTTCTTTTATCCAGCCAAAGATTAGTTGTGTATATTTTCTAGTTGCTGTTACAATACTTCTAACATAAATAAAAAAAGATAAATTTAATTTTTATTAGAAAACTTTAAATTAAAGCTTTTAAGTGTTTATTTTAAGATTCCTGACATACTTATTGTTCCAAAATTTAAAAAACGACCTAAATTGATAGATAGTTAATTTCT